AAAGAGGTACAAATATAAAACCCCTGGAAATGATATGGGTTTTAAGACCCTTGGTTGAAAGGAAGGGGATTCACGAACGGCGATTGGTATCAACATCTGCGCGCAGGCTCCCTAGATGTAACATTTTACCATCGCTATAAACAACTGGGCAAAGGTTTAACAGGGATGTGACATTGTAAGTTCAATATCAACATCTGGGCACAGAATACGCACTGTATATAAGAGTTTGCGATCAACACAGACTTCTGCCCGTAAGATATTACGATCAGTATCAACATCTGAGTAGAGCCGGTCATGCAAGACACATTGATTAAAACCCCTGGATCTAAGGAACAACGAACAATTTCAACATCTGGCCAATCCGTTTCGCGGCTTGAGCAATCCTTAACCATTAGCATGTTGCTGTTCTGTCAAAAATCATGCCATTATAATTTAAATAACTAGATGTGAATATTAGAAGTTTCAATCAAGAGTTACAGTGTTACGAATTGTAGTGAGGAAGTCATTCGTGCCATCCTATCGTGATTATAATTATTTAAAAGCTTTACTCAAAAACTATTCGAATTTAATGAAAAGAATGAGAATGCTCCTTAAAGTCTCTATTCACCCTCAGAGGTTTAAATATATTTCGATTCTTTGCGTTATCAGGATTAATCTCCAAAAATATTTTTTTTGATTGATTAAATATTTACCGAGATAAGCCGCCTCAAAGTTCGTTCCTTGACCACGCCCTTTTGATTTGGCCGAGCTAAGTTAATACTGGTAACTAAAAGTCCCTCATGACGTCACAGCGAGAATGTCTTTGGATCGATGTGCCTGCATTCACTTGAATATGCCTTTAGACGAATCTGGTGTATTTGAGCAACCAGCGCCCACGCAACGAGTCGGCATTTACACATCATTTTACAGCAATAGACAAATGTTCTTAAACAAGAAGTTAACATTCGTTCTTGCTGTGACGTCACTCGGCCAATTAATTCTCTCCCGGCCAAATCAAAAGGGCGTGGCCAAAAGACGAACTTTGAGGCCGCACATCTCGGTAAATATTTAATCAATCATAAAATTAATAACAGGGATCAGACTAATACAGCAGAGAGACCTGCAGATCACTGCATCGTGTGCAGGGATTCTTATAATTATCCATTGTACCGTTTTATTTTTCCAGTCATTCTGCCTCAGAACTGTTCTGAGGCCCCAAAGGAAACGGGAGTCTACAAAATTTCTAATCATGGATCAGACCCATTCCCAGTGTACTGCGATCAAACAAGTGATGGAGGGGGTACGTCAAACTAAACAAGATAATTTTAGTGAGGTTAACCGTTAGACTTAGAAAAGCCCAAAATTCAATCTTTAGGGATAAAAAATTGGCAAATTGAAGTCGTTAATCATAAAAAATATGAATCTTAACTGCGTAAGCATTCTGAACCGTAAACCGACAATTGTCAAAAACTTAAAATGTTACTCGTAAAAGCCATCACCTCTATGAGACCCTCGAATAGGCGTCATCAGTAGTTTCCAAATAAGTAGTTGTTTTCAGAGGTGGCCTTCTCCCTCGTCAAGAAATGCCCTCTGACTTAAAATTTAAAATGAAGGTTCATGTCTTATTTATTTTCTATTTTTCTTTTAGCGACAGAATTGCAGTCAATTAGAAAAACTGTTTCTAAAGTTTTGCAGAAGAAACAAATGATTTTCACAACCTTGGACTATTTTTTAGAGTTTTGCTTTGCTTTTTTGTTTTGTTATTTTTTGTTTTTGTTTGTTTGTTTTTTTTTTTAATTCTGTTTTAAGGTTGGACGATGATATTCAAATACATTGGAGGGATTTCTTCTTCACCGACTGGTAAAGTGTTATGGAGTTCATCCGACACATTATCAGAAAATATTACCGCTGCTTTAGATACCAGCGCAACCTACCAAGGTCATTACAAAAACCGTCTCATTCAAAGTTGGCAAACTTTTAACCCTCAAGAGGTAAGTCCGTAAAATATTTCCTTCACAGATGGTTAGGTTAAATGAAACTTCTTTACAAAGTACTCATGCAATTTTAACACACTTCCCTAGAAATGACCTGGAAAAATTAAATTAGTTAAATTTTTTAGGAAGCAACCAATGTATTAGGCTGAGGTTTCCACTTCGCCTCGAGAGCTTTTAATGCATTAGAGATGATTAGAACCGGGGGTAGTAGTAGCTACGGCAGAATTATACCAGAACCAAGGCGATATAATAGCTTCCAGTTCAAAACTTTGTTTTCTCGTGTTTACATAGTCGTAATTTGAATATATCAACAGAGTTGAAATGGCTGAGTTATAAAAGGCTGAGTTATGAAATGGCAGAGTTATAAAAGCTGACCTTTCGAGCGTTAGCCCTTCGTCGGAGCGAATAGAGTTATGCAATGTAATCTATTGCATAACTTGCACTTATTGCGAAAAGATTTACATCGGCGAAACAGGCGGAAGACTAGGTGACCGATTCCGAGAACACCTTCGCGACGTGGAGAGGAATGACAAGGACACATCGAAACTAGTCGCTAGACATTTTACTTTACCTAACCATTCTAAGCAACACATGGCAATCTGCT